GAGGACTCTAGAATCATCAACCAAGAAGAGAAGGACTAAGAACTGGTGGCCAGGAGCAGACTTGCAGAATGTGCTCTTTGGAGATGTAAATTATTATATATGCCTGAGTGGGTTTTTTGTTTGTGTGTTTTTTAAAAAAGCTAAAGTGGATAGAGAGACTTTTAACTGATGGTATATGGAGGGAATTATAATCAATGTAATGAAACAAGTTATATGAATTGTTGAATGTGAAACTGATGATATGGCCTATAAACTTTCACTCAATCCACAATAAAAACCTTAAATTAAAAAAAAGAACTATGTTTTCCCCAGGGGAAAAAAAAAAAAAAAAGTACATACTGGCTATCAGTACTCAGTGTACACAACAAATGCTCAAAGAGCTTAAGTATTAGAAAGGGAAGATGGGTGGAGTTCTGCCAGAGTGATAGGGAAAAAAAAAACTGACAAAAGCAGAGTGGGACGAGATTGTAGCTCACTTTGTCCCATAACTTCTCTGAATCTGTTAGGAATTATACAAAGAAATGGCACAGCAAAAAAAATCTAGTAACTTTCATAAGCACCTGATAAATTCATCCCCTTACATATATACTGTACTGTCACATGCATAACCTCATTTAATTTTCAAAACAACCTTGTTTGGAATTGTACATTTCCCAACTACTTCCTCTCCAGACTAGACCAAACTAAGTCCAGGTAATAAAATCAAGGCTCAAATCCCAACAAAGACTTTGCCCAAGATAGTGACCCTGGAGACTTAGGTAACTTTTTTAAAATGATGGCTAAGGGGCAAGGAATAGCTTTACTGCTACTGACATTTAATGTTATGGATTAAAACCAAACGAAAGAAAGCTATCTGGTAGTATGTATTGTTATACGATGATAAATCCAACTTTTAACCTACCTTCTCTTTGAGAGGCTCGTGACATGTGTTTCTCAGAAGGTGAACTGGAGTCACTGTGATGACAAGGTGAACCAGAAACTCTAGGAGCAGATGAACTTGACGAAGTGGTCAAATCTTAAAATTACAGAAATTTCTGAGATAAACCAAGCATAACTCTGGTAGTCTCTTAATTTTTAAATTATCTACTTAAACCATATTTTAAAAATCCACCTGAATCATGAAAAGTATACGCCCACATAAAACAGGCCTGCAACTAAGACTGAGGAATACAAGTCTAAAACCTTCTCTATCAAAGTTTGACTTTGTGCAAGAAAAATGAAAAGTAAATGTATAAGAGCATCCCTGGTTCCCTATCATCTCTGTAATGAAATGGAATAAGGAAATTCAATGAAAATGAATACTGAGCTGTTTAGCCTGTTTAATGTCAGAATAAGTTCTAATCAACAGGCCCATTACTAGGAACATGAGTGCATCCTTCCTAAATACTACTAAAAACTACTATTACTACTGGAGACTGTGTGAATAATATCTTTGGAATTTGTGGAAAAATAAATGTCAAATAGTTAAGTTCGACATCATCCTCCCATTTCGTCTTACTTTCCTAATGGGTCCTTAGAAGACAGAAAACTTGTGTTTTTTATTCAAAAAGGGCCTTTTAGGCCTTCTAAATCATTATCTCACTAAGTTGAAGTTGATTATCAGTGTTTCTTTTTGTCTTTTAAAGGCAATTGTGAATCTAAAAGAACTGTACTTGAATATTTATGAAATCACTTGCAAATAAGTTGATAAAACATAAGTTTCTTCTTTCAGCAGTAAAACTGGGCAAGAGCAGTACACTTAAATGCCTGCATATTCCCAAAGGGGTCTATCTTTAGGAGTGGCCCTCAAGCCCAAGCAAAGGATTATCATCCAACCATTTCAAGCTGCCTTTTAAAAAATGTAAATTTATTAGTATTTTGTGTTCCAAATGTTCAAACCTCTCTTTCTGGGTTTTCTGTTCATCATCACAATATTATAAATGATGACAATGTTCCCAGACAAGCCCTGTTTATTCCAAAGATAGACGATATTGCTCTCTTTGTCACAGTGTTGTTAAGTGCCGTGGAGTCGGTTCCAACTCATAGTGACCCTATGTAGAGTTTCCAAGGTTGTACATCTTTGTAGAAGCAGAAAGCCTCATTTTTCTCCTATAGAGTGGCTGGTGGGCTCCAACTGCTGTCTTCTTTGTCACATTGTTGTTGTGGTTAAGTGCCATCGAGTCAGTTCTCACTCATACTCACTCTGTGTAGGGTTTCTGAGGAGCAGGTGGTGGATTTTGAACTGCTGACCTTTTGCTTAGCAGTCCAGTACTGATTTTACAGCACCACACCAGGAATTGGTAAAGTAGATTAAATATACCAGTAAGTTTTTCTGAGCTCCAAATTCACTTAAGTCTAATATAATCAGCAACAAGAGTAAGAGAGGACTTTAGCCTGAGAATAGTTAGGGGTCATGAGATAATATGGTGTCAACTACCTATGTCTGGACATCTGGAAATCTAGAATACAAGACAGACCTAAAAGGACTCAAAAAGACTGAAACTACCTTGGGCCATCACTAATATTGATGATTGATGATTTCATCACTAATAGTGATGATTTCTGAAATATTGATAAAGATTCTCTGTTTGGCAGAGATTTTAAAGAAAATACTTTACTAGAGTTAGTTCTTCCCAGACCATCAGTGATGTCAGAGGCAAGAGTAAATGTTATATAAAAGATATATATACTGTACTACTTTGGAAAAGAGCTATCACTGAATTTTCCAAAGAAGCCTTTTAATTTCCTTCCCTTCTTTATCTGATTCTCAGAATGAAAATATGTATCATCCCTATGTCTGAGACACTTTAGAAAGCTTTTTTAATAAAAAAAAAAAAAAAAAAAAGAGTTTACCTGAACTTGATGTAGTTCTTCTTGCTCTCAAGATGGGATAGCTGCCTACTTCTAAAGATTTGGTTAAGTCAAGATCATGCAAAATCAAGAGATACCCAGAAGAAGTTGAAATCAACATTTTGGAACAATCTGGTGTTAATCTCATTCGCATAAGAAAACGTGTGTGAAAGAATTTCTTATGTGGACATCCATCTTCTGTACACCTACAGAATAAATAAAACCAATAAAAACTAGTGTTAAAATTACGGTAAATAGAATGGTTCCATGATGATATTTTATTCACTCCTTAAACCAGAATTGGCAATATATACAAGGATTAAGTCAAAAAACATTAACAAAATTATAGAAAACTTTATTAACAAAAATATCAAAATGTAAACCTAGTATTTCTCAACATATTCTCCAAGTAGGTCTATTCACTTCTTAAGGCAATAGTGTTTCCATCCCCTAACCCTTCTTGAATAGACTCCTGGTATGGTGCTGTTGGTTAATGCACTGGACTGTGAAGTCAGTTTGAACAGCAAGGTTGGCAGTTTAAACTTACCAGTTGCTCCTCAGAAACCCTATACAGGGTCACTATGAACTGGAACTGACTCGACGGCACTTAACAACATCAACCATCCTTCATGAAGAATTCTAAGCTCTTCCATTTGCACCACGTCAAATAGCAGTTTGGGCATCCTCAAGGGACGCATAATGTGTTTCTTAGAAAGAATCATAGGGCAACCCTTGTACCCTTGAAGAAGGTGCACTGTCATGATGAAAAAATTCCTCAGCCCATGTTTCCTGGCCTTATTTTTTCACCAATGCAATTTCTATTAACATTTCTTCATAGCAAGCCCCCGTGATGGTTTTGTATCCTTCAAAAAAATCTACGAAGAAAGGCTCTTTTAGAATCCCCAAAAATACTCAACATAACTTTCTGAACTGACCTCTCTGCTTAGAATTTAACTGGCCCAACAGTTTTGACTAGACTTTGCTCTATGGATAATATCTGTAAATCTAAGACTTGGCCCCAGTTATAATTTGTTCCATAAAATTGTCTCATTAGCTTCAATCCTGCTTAAGACAGAAAGTTCAGCTCTTTCAGATGATATATGGTGAAATTTTTTTTTTAGTATTTTTTTTTTTAATGCACCCAATGAGACTAAGACAAGCATATTACTGGCAGAACTTGTCTGCTGCCATCCAAAGACCTCTTTAAACATGTTTTGTTTGGAATAAACCTACGCTACCAGGAGCCCTGGTGACATAGTAGGTTATGAATTGGGCTATTAACTGTTAGGTCAGCAGTTCAAATCCACCAGCCACTCTGAGGGAAAAAGGTGAGGACACCCGTTCCTGTAAAGATTTACAGCCTCGGAAACCTATACAGGGTCAGTATGAGTCAGAAATGACTTAACGGTACACCACAACCATTAGAACCCTAGTAACACTGTTTTTTACGTGTCCTCATACTTATGTTGTTGTTGTTGTTGTCAGGTGCCATGGAGTCGGAACCAACTCATAGCGACCCCATGCACAGCAGAACGAAACAATGTCCAATCCTGGGCCAACCTCACTACCGCTGCCACACTTAAGTCCATCAATGATGCCACCTGGCCAACCCATCTCATTAGGGATCTTCCTCTTTTTCTCTGACCCTCCACCTTACCCAGCATGACATCCTTCTCCAGCGACTGTTCCGTCCTGACAATATGTCCAAAGTATGAGACGAAGCTTAGCCATCTTGGCCTCCAAGGAGCACTCTGGCTGCACTTCTTCCAAAACAGATCTATTGGTTCTTTTGGCAGTCCATGGCACTTTTAGTATTCTCCTCCAACACAACTCAAAGGCATCAATTCTTCTACGATCTTCCTTATTCATTGTCCAGCTTTCGCATCCATATGAGGTTATTGAAAATACCATGGCTTGGATCAGGCGCACCTTAATCTTCAAGCTGACATCTCTGCTCTTCAATACTTTAAAAAGTTCCTGTGCAGCAGATTTGCCTAATGCAATACCTCGTCTGATCTCTTGACTGCTGCTTCCGCGAGTGTTGATAGTTGATCCAAGAAGAATGAAGTCCTTGACAACTTCAATCTTTTCTCCATTGATAAGAATGTTGTTTATTGGTCCAGTGGTGAGGATTTTTGTTTTCTTGACATTGAGATGCAATCCATATCGAAGACTGTGCTCTTTGATCTTCATACTAATAGACAATTGTTTTGTTCACCATTCCTCTGTCAACTGCAACCTTCTTTATTAAGGTTATTCTCTTTCTTCCTTAAGTATATACCTCAGGACTTCAAGTATAACACTGTTGAGGTTAACTCTTTTTGTTTTTGTTTTTAATTGCTTTGCAAATATCTTTATTTTACTCTTCTTTATAAACACTGGCTTAGTTGGAGAATATAACTTGCAATGGGCACTTTTTTTTTTTTTTTAAGTTTTTACTGTGAACTGAGGTGACAGTTCACATGGGAGAACATTGGCTTTACAACATCATCTCATTGCAATTATTACAATCTCCTTTGGGCATCATCATTCAACAGTATTTGCTTCCATCCCCTCTGTTTTTTCTTTGTGGGGGGAGGATGTACACAAAAACACTGAGGAATATATATAATAATTTAAACAACCAAAGGATGCAGTCTACAAGCCTGTCTCCTGGCCGCTAGCACCCAGTCCCTCTCTTCCTACGAATCTAGAGTCCTCAGCTGCTCCCTCTCTCCATGTCCTCATCTCTGCCTCCATCTCTGGTGTTGCTGCTTCTCTGGATAGGGTCCCACATTCTGCTTGTTGGTCCCTTGATGGTCCTAGGGTCCTCTGATACTGGACTGTAAGATTAACTACTCCCCCATTTTTGTTACAAAACCTCTACCTTTACAGTTATGATAGTCGCAATTAGTCATGATAACAATTACTCACTATTGGATCATAAGACTCTTATTGCCATCTCCTTTCACCAGACCCAACTAGAAAAGATGAAAACTATTCAGTGAGGATTCTGCCTCACCCTACACACTCTAAAACTAAACTCCCTTTGAAAACTTGTAAGCCAGTCACTTCATGCCTTTATAGCCTCCCTTCCCCCCACCCCCATTTTAGGTAGCCAATGTCTAAGATTCCCATCCCTATCAACCTGGCATACAGAGGGGCTAGGATAAGAAGGGAATTTTTTGTAATTCTGAATATTTTGTAATGATTTGCATCCTGTGAAAGACTCTATCTATCATGTTAACTGTCAAGACTGCTGAAAAACTCTCAGTGGATTCAGAGTTTCTTCCTGAACCTCTGACTTGCTTTCTACCTTAACTAATAAAGGACATGTCTTCACAGACTGTAAAGAAATCTGTGTAATTAGGCAGTTTCATTTTCATATGTGTAAGCTTATATTTGGACTCCTGATGTGGTGCTGAGGGTTAATGCACTGGACTGCAAAGTCAGTCTGATCTGCAAGGGTAGCAGTTCAAGCTAACCAGCCACTCCTCAGAAACCCTATACAGGGTCACTATGAGTCAGAATCAACTCAGCGGCACTAACAAGTTTAGACTTATTTTTATTAAAACTACCTTTCTAAATTGTAAGATTCATGTTATCATACATTCAGAAAATTCTCAGTGATTAGTCCAATACTGTTTCTTATCCATTTTCTCTATTCTCCTTTTGAAGCTCCAAATTCACATTTGACCCTCTGTTTTATAGCTGTTATATAAAATTTTCTATCATATTATTTCTGTATGCTGTATTCTGGGTAATTTTTCATTATCTATCTTCCACTTTTTTTTCCCCAGTTGGATCTAATCTGCTCTTTCGACTAGTTGTATGTTTTTAAATTTTCAATAGCTGTATATTTATTTTTAACTCATATAGTGCTGTAGGATCAGCACTGGACTGCAAATCACACCCACTAGCTGCTCTTTAGAAACCTATACAGGGTCACTATTAGTTGGAATTGATTCAAGAGCACTTAACAAGTTCTTTTCAAAATTTGTAATATATTTATTCCTTGTCTATGTTCTTCTTTCCCTTTATTTCCTTGTTAATTTAAAAATGTGAATCATATCACACCTGCAGAATGGTATATACATAAACATGAAGAATTTAAAGAAAAATAAACACGTTATGTAAACAAATATTTTAGAAGTTGCTTCCATTTCTCTTTATTGTATTCTATTCTTGCTTCAAGCAACAATGTCTTCTCTTATACTGTACTTCCAAAGATATTGGTGTCCTCCTGCTTATGTAGGTCTCTGAATTAGAAACTTTTCTCAAATGTCTGATTATTTTTGACCATCTGTCCATAAAAAAGAATAAGGAACTAAAAAGTTGACTGGGAACTCTAAGTGCATGGATAGTGTCCAAGTATCACTACAAATTATGTATTTCCTTTGTCAAATATATTCATAAGTATCCCTTTTTTGACACTATTGCAAATAGAGATATTTTTTTAAATTCATTTTTGGATTGTTCATTGCTATGAAATAGATGTACAATTGACTTTTATATATTAATCACACATTGCATGACCTTGCTTATTGTTGTTGTTGCTGTTGTTAGGTGCCATCGAGTAGGTACCAACTCATAGTGACCCTATGCACAGCAGAACGGAACACTGCCTGATCTTGGGCCAACCTCGAACTGTTGCCACGCTTGCGTCCATCAATGTTGTTACTTGTCCAATCCATCTCGTTGGGGGTCTTCCTCATTTTCTCTGACCCTCCACCTTACCAAACATGATATCCTTCTCCTGCGAATGGTCCCTCCTGACAATATGCCCAAAGTATGAGAGGCAAAGTTTGGCCATCGTGGCCTCCAAGGAGCACTCTGGCTGCACTTCTTCCAAATTGGATCTATTGCTTCTTTTGGCAGCCCATCATGGCACTATCAATATTCTCCTCCAACACCATAACTCAAAAACATCAATTCTTCTACAGTCTTCCTTATTCACTGCCCAGCTTTCACATGCATATGAGGTTATTGAAATACCATGGCTTGGGTCAGTCGCACCTTAGTCTTCAAACTGACATCTTTGCTCTTCAACACTTTAGAAAGATCTTGTGCAGCAGATTTGCCTAATGCGATACGTCATTTGATTTTTTGACTGCTGCTTCCACCAGTGTTGATGGTTGATCCCAATCTTTTCTCCATTGATAAGAATGTTGTTTACTGGTCCAGTGGTGAGGATTTTTGTTTTCTTTACATTGACATGTAATCCATACTGAAGGCTGTGGTCTTTTATCTTCATCAGTAAATGTTTTAAGTCCTCTTCACTTTCAGCAAGCAAGGTTGTATCATCTGCATATCGCAGGTTGTTAATGAGTCCTCCTCCAATCCTAATGCCACATTTTTCTTCAAAAAACCCAGCTTCTCGTATTATTTGCTCAGCATACAGGTTGAGTAAGTATGGTGAAAGAATACAACCCTGTCGCACACCTTTCTTAATTTTAAGCCATTCAGTGTTCCCATGTTCTATTTGAACAACTGCTCCTTGGTCCATGTAGAGATTCCTCATGAGCACAATTAAGTGTTCTGGAACACTCACACTTCTCAATGTTGTCCATAGCTTGTCATGATCCACACAATCGAAAGCCTTTGCATAGTCAATAAAGCACAGGTAAACATTTCTGATATTCTCTGCTTTCAGCCAAGAGCCATTGGACATCAGCAATGTTATTTCCTGTTTCATGGCCTCTTCTGAATCTGGCTTGAACTTCTGGAAGTTCTCTGTCAATGTATGCTTGCAACTGTTTCTGTATTACCTTTAGTAAAACTTTACTTGCATGGAATATCAGAGATATTGTCTGAAAATTTCCACATTTCAATGGGTAACCTCTCTTTAGAATGGGCACAAACATGGATCTCTTCCAATCAGTCAGCCAGATAGTCGTCTTCCAAATTTCTGGCATAGATGAGTGAGTGCCTCCTGTGCTACCTCACTTTCTTGAAAGATTTCTCTTTTTATTCCATCAATTTGCTTATTGGACATTGTTTATTAGTTCGACTAGGGATTCTGCAGGGTCTTGCTATGGCACTGTTGGATAAGAACTGGACTACCATCCTTGGAAAGCCCATACAGGGTCAAATGGAAGGCATTAAACAACAACAGGGGTTTTATGGGTGGCGGGAGGGGTGTATGTGGATTCCTTAAGATTTTCTACCTACAGGATCATGTCTTCTGTATATAGGCAAGTTTTACTTTCTTTCTGATTTTTCTTTTACTTGCCGATTGGACCTCTACTACACTCTTGAGAAGAAGTGATTAAAAAAAGCAACATCCTTGTTTTGTTCCCAACCTTAGGGAGAATACATTTAGTTTTTCAACATTAAGGATGATCTTGGTTGCAGGTTTTTCACAGATGCCCTTTAGCAGATTGAGGAAGTTCTCTTAAATTTTTAGTTTTATCATGAAAGTGTGTTGTAGTTTATCAATGACTTTTCTGAATACATTAAGGTGATCATGTGGATTTTCTCATTTATTGGTATAATGTGTTATGTTAATTTTTGGGATTCTGAATCAACTTTGCATTCCTAGGATAAATTCCACTTGGTAATGGCCTATAATCCTTTACATTATTGCTATAATTGACTTGCTAATATTTTGTTGAAGGTACCCTAATGGTGAAGTAGTTAAATGCTTGACTACTAATTAAAAGGTCTGCAGTTCAAATCTACCGGCCACTCTGTGGGAGAAAAGACCTGACAATCTGCTTCCATCAAGATTACAGCCTGGGCAGCAGTTACTCAGGGACAAACTTCAGAAGGGCTGGGAAAGAAGAAACAATGGAAATAAGAAACAAGGAGAAAAAGTGGAGTTAAGTGATGTTACACTAAGATGAAACTAAGTGTATGATTTCTGACTAAAAAACTGATCATCTGCTCTGTACACCTTTATTCCATACACAGTAAGAAGTTAAAAAAATATTACCTTCTGCATGGCATAGAATATATTTCATAAAGAATACTATTCTATGTCCCAAAGACATGAGTATATATATATAATCCTTTAATTTCTTCCTTGTATACTTTTGCAAACTTTACTATCTTTTTATCTTTTGGTGAATGCTATCTATTCAGATAAAACGAAGCACTTAAAACCAAAAAAAGAACCAAAAAAGCAGATTGTTGTTGCTGTGTACCATTGAGTTGATTCTGATTCAGTTACCCTGTTTAGGGTTTCTAAAGAGCAGCCAGAAGGTTTGAACTACCAATCTTTTGGTTAGCAGTTCAATGTTTATCATACAGTGCTACACCATTACTTCTAGGCTATGAAACCCTATGGGGCAGTTCTACTCTGTTCTATAGTGTGGCTTTGACTTGAAATCAACTCATCTGCACACAACAGCAACAACAAATATTTTATTGAGGATTTTTACTTCTGTATTCAGGGTCACAATGGGTTGGACCTGACTCAACGGCACTTAACAAGAACAACAACATTCATTAGTCTGTAGTTTTCAAATTATGTCTTTGTACGGTTTGGGAGTCACAGTAATACTAACCTCTTAAAGTGAGTTAAAAGTGTTTTTCAATCTCTGGAAAAATTTGTTAAAGATTAGATATGTTTGGTAAAATTCACCATTGAAGCTATCTGGGCCTGAGCTTTTCACTGTGGTAAGATTTTTAAATAATCAGTTTAATTATTTTACTTGTTATAGGTCTGTGTTGTTGTTCTTAAGTACTGCTGAGTCGGTTCTGGCACATAGCAACCGTACGTACAACTGAATGAAACACCACCTGGTCCTGCACCATCGTCACATATGTCTGCAGATAATAATGTTCCCACTTTTATTTTTAATTATGACCAAAAATGGAAATTTTATTCAATGTTTTTTATCCCTATTTTACAATCCCAATTTAAATAGGTAAATCATATAGATTTATCCATTTAATCTTTTAATGTGATCAAGTATATTAGATTTTTTTTTTTTTTGGATAAACCATCTTTCCATTCCTTGTTCATATTTTTATTACTATCTTATAGGAGTCAACTTTTAGTATTTTATTAATAATATTTGCATCTATATTTGCACTACATATTGACTTTTCATCTTTTTCTAATATTATCTTTGTTGAGTTTAAGTAACAACGTCATCACTATCTTTAATAGCTCTATCCTCTCAGATAATAAGCATAGCTAGCAATCTTTAAGAATATTCCCTTTTTTCTTTTTTGTATGACTTCTGAAAAGAGTATTTCAGGATCGATCTGGGATATTATTATATTATTTTATCACCGCTAAAAATAAGAATATTTTAACTATTTCTCAAAACTTCAACTCTTTAAATAATTACTTTTTCTTTCAGGAGGTTGTTACAGTTTAGTGCCGTTAAGTAAGTTCCAATTCATAATGACCCTGTATAGTGCTTTTGAGGAGTGGCTGGTGAATCTGAACCACTGACCCTGCAGTTCAAACTGACCTTGTGGTCCAGTGCTTACCCTACAGTGCCACACCAGGACTCCAAGGAAGTATTTACTGGAATATTTCTCAACAGCGGTATTACTGGCATTTCAGGTGGGACAACTAATTCACTGTGCAAACTGTTGTGAACATTGCAAGATGTTTAGAAATTCTAGTCCCTGCCCATTAAATTCCAACAGACATCCTCCTGTCTCACCCTTCATTTTGACAACCCTCCTTCCATTATTTCCAAACATTCCCCTAGGGATTAATACCATCCTTATTGAGAATTACTCTTAATGCATGAAAACAAAGTGTAATTCTTAAAACAAATAGATTTAGTATTAAAGGACCAAAAGGCAAAAAACAATCAAAGCCTTAAATTCAGGAAATTCATTTTATAAACCAATTTTCTTCATTAAGTATACTACTTGATCTCCTTCCAATTCATATAACTGTCTCTAAATTTTTTATCAGAAAAATATAACTAAGTGTAAGTAACTAATGATGGAAGCACTTTCAGTAGTTTTTCCCAAAGCCAATTTCTTTCACCTAAAAAGACATGAAGGGGAAGACACAAAATTTGTTTATCATCTTTAAAGCAATTTGCTTTTACTGGTCTCCTATTTACAAACCTGTTAGTGTCCCAAATAATGACGTTTCCATCAAATCCTGATGTTACTAAGAGTCTTGTATTAGTATCATATTCGATGTTCTTCACCCAGCTAGTGTGACCGTGTAAAGTGCATACTTTGGTGTTCAATTTTCTCAGATCCCATAGTGCTATGGTAGTGTCATCAGAGCAGGTAGCAAACAGCCGGTTATCAAGAAATCTATAAAAGGTGAAAAGAAAAACTGGTTCACTCAGTCTGTTATTAAAGAAAACTTGATTTGAGAAACAGTCTCTAAATTGCCTAACCAAAAAAACAAAACAACAAAACTTCTACTAATTCACTGTATAAATCCAGGGATTCTGAAATATAATAAAAGAGTAAATATAATTAACATAATCACAGGATACCATGATTTAATGAGGGCCACAATGTTATTTGATCCATTTGGTTTACATTACTGATTTTTAATTGGAACTGGAAACAGGAGTGGGTATTTGGAGAACAGTGCTAGAGGGGGCAAAAAAAAAAAATCATAATTTTCTGTACAGGAAACAAATTGTGAGGGATAACTGAATAGGAGCTAGAGGAGATTTTGAAGATTTGAATGCTGAGGGGGACGTGTTAAGTATAAAGGATTTTAAATTATGAGAAATGTTTACTCTGCTACAAATTGAATCTTTTTCTATTTAGAACATAGTTACACACAAAGACTGCTATTCAAATGCTATAATTTTAAATCTAAATATCTCAGTTAGTTACATTTTATCAGGACCAGTCAAGATTATGTGATGGACTTAATGAAGAACTCTGCAATTCAGACTTTTTATTATTTTACATTGATCTTTCAATCCTGTGTGAGAATATCCTAGGGGGCTTCAAAAGTTCAAGGAAAAATGAGATGGAAAGATAACAGAATTTTTCCACAAACTTTTTGAAGATCCCTTGTATTTATACAAATACTTTAAAAATAACAAAGCTAACATTCACACTTGGATTTCTGTCAAATTCAACATTAGGATGCTTTCATTAACATATACTGTGATCTGTAATTTACTAATCTCACAAAAGACATGAATTCTGAAGCTGAAACCGCAAGTCATATATAATTCCTTTTCATCAGAAATCAATCCAACACCCACAAATATTACATCCTTCCTGAAACTTATCACAGTTTTAACTTTCCAAGCCTTTGTTGTTTCTTCTACATGAAGCCCTCTTTCTCCTAACTGTGATCTGGCTATTTCCCTAATATTCAGTTCAAGGAGCTCTGATAGCATAGTGGTTACGAATCGGGCTGCTAACCTCAAGGTCAGCAGTTCAAAACTATCAGCTGTTTTGTGAGAGGAAGATGAGGCATTCTGCTCCCGTAAAGATTTGCAGCCTCGGAAACCCTGTATAGGGTCGCTATGAGAAGGAACCGACTCCACAGCACACAACAACAACAACAATATTTAGTTCAGATGTCATCCAGGCACGCTTTCTTCTGTCTACTCTGGAATATATATACCAATCCCCTAAATCCCCAAAGCACTCTAAACTTCTATCATGATACAATACTATGTAAAAACTACCCTTATAAAGCTATAAACTCTTTGAAGAAAGAGAAATCTATCTGGCTAGTTCAAGGTTAGATCTGCAGTAGTACTCCAAACATTGCCTGGCACATAATATATACTCGAAAATATTTATTAAATCAATGAATGAGACAATTCATTATCTAGTACATAACACATTATAAATGTTACTACATAAAATAATTGTATGGGATAAGCAAAGGAAAAAGCATGGCTAAAAAAGGTTCTACAGTAGTGTCATTTGAACTGACTTGAAAAATGAGCAGTAATTCCTGAACTGGACAAGAAGTAACCTAACAGCCTACCACTGGTCTGTCAGTTTGTCATACTGTGGTGGTTTGTGAGTTGCTGTGATTCTGAAAGCTATGCCATCAGTATTTTAAATACCAGCAGGGTCACCCATAATGGACAGGTTTCAGATGAGCTTCCAAACCAAGAAGAAGAAGTGACAAACTACTTCCGAATATTTAGTCACCGAAAACCTTATGAAGAGCAGAGAAACACTGTCATATATAGTGCCGGAAAATGAGCCCCTCAGGTTGGAAGGCACTCAAAATGCGACTGGGGAAGAGCTGCCTCCCTCCTCACAGTAGAGTTGACCGTGATACCATGAATGGAGTAAAGCCTACGGGACACCTTTATTTGCTGATGGGCACAACTCAAAATGAAGACAAGCAGCTGTAAACATCCATTAATAATTGTAACATGGAATGTACTAGTATAAATCTAGAAAAATGTCAAAAATGAAATGGAACGCATAAACATCAATATCTTAAGCATTAGTGAGCTAAAATGGACTGGAATTGGCATTTTGAATTTGACAACCACATGGTTTACTATGCCAGGAATGACAAATTGAAGAGGAACGGTGATGCATTCATTGTCAAAAAGAACATATCCAGATCTGTCATGAGGTACAACGCTGTCTGTGATAGGATAATATCCATGCGCCTACAGGGAAGCCCA